AACTCTTCATTACCAAGGATACAGCGTCTATCGGTAACCGGCAGAAATATTTAAAATGTACTCGACGGTGAACGGTAGTTACTGCTTGCGCCAGTTTCACATGGTTAAGTTTCTGTCGCCAATTTGCCGGAAACGGAACGCGACTACATAATTAATTCTTCCGGAACTTCGACAGACGCGTCATGTGCAGGAGCCTCCGTGGAATTCCTAATCGTCCGCGATAGGAACCCTCCCCCCCTCCCATGGAAATTCGTAACGTGGAAAATTCGATTCGCGGGGGAAAGACCGATCGAATGCGAGCCTCCAGGCGACGACGACTCGATATCGGCGATAATTGCAGCCGACAGATAATACAGATAAAACACTGATACACGAAAACGGCAACGCGAAACGATTCCACGGTGCAATCGATTTGTCTCGAAATAAATCGCGGGTCGCACTGTTCGCCCGTGCTTCTCTGTGATTTATACTCGCAACGGAGAGGTTCGACGATTTTGCGGCAACGTCTATTCGCGCGAGGAGGATAGATAAATGTAGAATTAACGACCGAACGACGGGTCGAATTCGAAAAGACGGAATCCGTGGTTTCGATTGAAAGGTAGCAGGTGATCGATAATGGAGTTCGATATTTCAACGGCTCGCACGGTCATTGGGTATTCCGGTCTGGCATTAACCTATGCCCGTTACATAAATTTTTGGCAATTCCGTCGGGAATTCGCGAAATATCCGAACCCGTGGCGAAATCGTCGTGATAACAGCGTTCGAATAGATCCGTGCAGCATCGGAGGTTCGCGTGAAACGTGTAAGCGGCAAATAGAAACTGGTTTTCGGAATTCACTCGATGCCAGTAAAATTATGCGAAAGTGTTATTTCGGCTTACGGGAAACCGACGTTCCGAGTACCGGATTACACCGTACAGTTTACACTATAACCGAGAGCATGTGGCGCAAAGAAATGGCAAACGAGTCGCCGGGAATATTACGATTACAGGAGAAACATCGTTCCACGAGGAGAAAGATTTCCCCGATACGAAGTACCGCGACGGATCGAGAGAAATTCACCGAGTCGATTGCCATGCGACTCGATACGTTCCGACAAAACAGCGAGTCGGTGCTCGATGTGGAATATTTTTCCCGTCGCCAAGATATCGCAGCCGCTCGGCTCGAGCCTGCGGTTGTCGGTATCGCGAGGCTGGAAATGAATCATCCGTTTCCTGGAAGCAAGGAATATCGCGGTTGGCACGTTAAAATCTCGGCCGAGCGAGGAAAGTATCGAGCCCCCATCGATTCGGCATCGAACGCGTGAAAATCAATAGCACCCGCGATACTAAAACGGGCGGATCGCGGCGAAAAGCGATCGGCAGATCGGCAGACGGCCGAAGGAAGAAAGCGGGCCGTGCTAGCGGCGTATTGCCGGAACAGAAATGGCGACCGGCGCGTCTGCTTCGGCCATAACCACAAAGTAACCCGTGCCGTACCGGTTTTCCCGGGCGGCACGTTGACATTTTTCGGGGAACGGGTACATGCACAGTGTGATATTTACCATTTCGTGATATCGTAGCCGGTGAGGAGAATCACGTAAACAAGCACTTTTAACCTACACTTTCACGATAGCCTCGGTTCTGGTGGAACTGGATAGGCGCAGTGTCCAGTCGCGGGGGTCGCGGCTCACGAACGAACGAACGAACGAACGGGAAGGGAGGCTCCTCTCGCAGCCAGCTTTCTGCGAATCCTGTATCCCTACGCCTGCGCGCGCGCACTTCTGATTAACTCTATCTTGATTGGCCGGCGTGCGGCTAACGTATACCCGGGATTTCTTTTACACGGATATTTCACAGGGAAATTCGATGGGAAACGGTGTGCCCCGATTGTTCGAATCTTTTTTCACCGATACGAATAGGCGAATCGAAATCGTTCCGATGTGGATTTTTCTTTTCAAACCGGTAGGACCGTTCCCAGTGCGCAAGCGTTGCACGGCGTGCTCGTGCCGGTCGTTCGCACGGATTTTAATTTTAACTGGAATACGATTTCCTTCCAGGTCGACTTAAATGTATCGTTGATTAATCGAATTGTCTACAGGGTGAAATCATCTTAAGACCTAATTCGGTAACAATGACACGGAATTCGATGGAATTAATCATCGATATTAGCTGCCGGTTCTATTGGCCAATCATCGCGAGGGACGTGGGGAAATTACCTTATATGGGCAGCGGCATGCATGCGACCGCATACAGACGTCGCGCGTCACTCCGTGCGCATGCTGTATAGTTTGCGTGCGCACAGCGCGCAACATAGTTGACAGTTTCGAAAAACACCGGAACGCGACAGCACAATCTCGGCTCGATGATGATTCGAAGGGCTCTGTAGGTAAATTCGATAAAGTAGATCGGACGCTGATGCTATTTTGTGTATGCAGATTGTACCATTGATTTTTATTTTAACACTTGTGTACGTTGTTCGAGGAACAATGTTTGATTGATGTTTTCCGAGATAAATTAACTTTGTATTGAAAACAAATTTGCGAATGATTTTCAATTTTCTTTTAAATTATAACGCATGGAACAAAATATCAGATTAGAATTAATGCACTCTTATAATGGTACTGTTCATGAGTGTATTTTAAAACGAAAAAATTAAAAGTCGAATGAAGGTATTCACATAGATATATTTCAGTTTAGATATAACAAAATATGATTAAATATTATTTCTGTATAGATGAGAAATACAGGTTGCAGCAATAATTCTAGATACTGTGATATAATGTGTACCCATTGTACACCTTACATCTACAGTTAGTACAGTAAGAGATCTGTTTAATACAATTTATCATTTTTTTGTCAGTAATGTTAAATAATTTCGTTCGTTCACGATAATATACAATATCAGCTAAGAAACAAAGATATGATCTATAAGCATACAAACTATAGATTAATGGTATAGCAGAATAATGTATATTATACTAACAATTTATATCAATATAAAAACCGAGTATTATATGTATATATAATTTGTATAGGTTCCAAACCATTCTCTATTAGCAAACATAAGTGAGTCTTTATAAAGTTTCATCCACTTTGAAGCTAATCTACTTAAGCCCTTAATTCCTATAAAAGATAAAAATGTAAGATTCTCGTAATGTAAATAAAAATATGAATTTCTCTATAATTTTTTAATAATATACTGCTTAAATACATATATGTACAGTTTTGGCAAATTTGTGGATAATGACAAATACATGCTGTATTTTAACATTACATACTAGTCAGCATTCTATAATAATATACGTATAAGCACGTATAATTACGTGTAAATTGTCACTTGAAATAAGTCTTCAACATCCTGAATAAATAAAATTTTAAGTTAATCTTATGTGTTATTAAATGAAGATTTCGTTTCCTTTCGATTGTTCGATTACCTAACTAAATATACGTAATTAAAAAATGCATCCTTTTAATGTAAAGTATAAAACTTTATTTATTCAAGATATCATATTCATGATCATGAGTAAAAAGAATAATCTAATGGACAGATGAAGTATAGTAAAAGATACCTAATATTCAGTGAATATTAGTCAAAATTACTAGCATAACATAATTAATATTTACCTAATCTGATAGAATGAAGACAACAATAATTATTCGATTAACTAGAAAAACGAAAAGTACACATCTAAAAATATGTTTTTGTCATTATTTCGTAGAGCATATATATATATATATATATGAATTTAGCCTTTAAATTATTTAAATCCTTTAGAGAATATGTACAAATTTCTTTTGTAAAACATATGTTGAAACTTCCATAGCCAGTATATATTGGCAGTAATTTGCAGTGCAATTAACAATCATAAAGCACTGCAGAAGAATAAAAAAATATTGATAAGTATGCTTTAATGGTATCAAGTAATAAAAATTGAGTACGTAACTAATATCTCTGTAGATTTCGAATATTCATGTAACTTTGTATAAGGTGGTCGCTTATTGATATTTATTTTACCATACAGAACACAGAAAACTTTATATAATAATGTACGTAAATTATGATTAGTATATCTATAAGCAATACCGATTTTTTGTTACTTCAACTATTTGCTCGTCATTATTTTTTTGATTAAGATATAAATAGAGCTACGTTTTAATCTTTTTTATTTTCCTTTTCGTATTGATGAGATGTATTTATACTCTTTGTAAAAGATAGAGAAGTAATGTTACCAATAGAGGGGAACAAATGCAATAACAAAGTTCTTAAATAAATCAAATCATAATACTTTTTTTTTAAGTACTCATTAACAGTGTCTATGAAGCGAAACATACCTTCACGAACATTGGAATGGCATTCCTCAATACAGAATGCAGTAATTATGATCACGCGGCTATAATAGCTATATGGTAGGAACCACCTATATCCTTTTAAAAAGAAGGAGTCATTATTTATAACGAAACAAAACTTATACGAGAACTATACATAAGCTAGTTTCTCAGTCAACTGATACAAGATTTTATCCTTGCTTTTACAAAGTAATCCGGCTATCCAAGGACAGAAGTGTGTATAGTTCAATGACTACACGATTACGTTTACAACTTATCCTTGAAACATTCTTCCGATCTCTAAAGCTAATAGGGCGTTAGATGAGTCCCCGTTTTTTCTTATAATCTTCTAAGTTTAGTGATCGCCGAGGTCCTGTGTCTTTGATATTGCTAATAGGCTTCGGCAAAACACTAACAGGATTATCTGAAAAAGTTACATTACATAAAGAGTTACAAGAATGATCTCACTTAAAAAAAATATAATTTATTTACGATTGATAAGAAACTTTTGTACACAACTTACTCGGAATCGGTACCTCCAAATCTATTGTAATGTCAAAATCATGAGCGTTAAATAAATCTTCAGTGCTTTGCTTCTTCTTTGTCTCCTGTCCGTTTTCTTTGTCGTTACTTGTTGCGACAGCATCAGTTTGTTGGGGAGCTGTTTTATCGTTTACCGGAGCCGCGGTTGCTACGTCGTCGTCTTCTGGTTTATAAACCATCCTTGGTTTTGTGCTACGTCTAGTAAACGGATCGTCTACCTTTTTACCTTTGTTAGCTTTGATCTCTTCCTATAATGCAGAAATTTATATATTAGTTACAGGAACTCGTGAACCTTCAATATTTCAATATTTTAAATTACCATTATAGCTTTTTCTGCTTCCTCGACGTTCTTCTTCCGATTACGATCGTTAATGTATGATATACTGGATATTGTAGCAGTTCGCATTTTATCCAGCTCCGAAGCACGTTCCTCAAGCTCGCTCAGTTCTTGATTCAGTCGGCTAGCAGTTTCATCGTCTCCTCTGCAATTAGCTGCATCTCTTTCTCGCATGAGCTGTGCTTTCTTCATCGCATAGTTGTACGGATTTTGTTTAAATCTTTCCTTCTCCCGTACTATTTTCTCTATGTCTTCTTCTTTAAATTCATAAACCAGAGCTTCTTTGATATCTTTCAATTTCTGTTCAACCTCTTCGAATGTGGGCATAGATATTCCTTGCAGAGCACAAGTTTCTTTCCATTTGAAAAATTCAGATTCTGTGAATTCTTGATTTGACACGAACTCTAGTCTAAACACGCGTTCCTGAGCTCCATGTCTTAACTTTAAGCCTTTGTTTGTTCTTGTACCACCGAGCTGATAAATTTTTCCTGTTTCACAGACTCCGCTAATTTCAGCCACTCTGTAGACGGGTTTTCCGTTGTTATTTCCAATTCCAATTCTGACAAAGCAGCCTTGCACTACTCTGTCAAAGAAGGGTAAGTGCACAAATCTCTCCATTTTGTGGCGAGACAATCTGATTTTGTTGAGATCTTCCTTGGTACTAACGTATATTGGCTTTTTCGGTTTAGCCTTGTTACTAGTAACAGATCTGTAACGTTATAAAGTTACAATTAGCATCGTCGAAATATTGTTCTTAATTGAAAATAAAGTTACCAACTTTTTGTCATTATCAGAATCGGAATCTCTACTGTCGCTTGAAGACGACCTGCGATGAGATGACGGTTTAGGAGCTTCTTCATCTTCACCGCTGTCCGATGAACCGCTGTCATCTGAATAAATATCAGATGCCTTAAGCTTTGTTTTATTTGCACCTCCTTTGTGATCGTCTTCCAATTCTTCTTCCTCAATGTCCTTCGATTGTTGTTGCTGCTGCTCTATCCTTTGTTTTTCCTTTTCCTCTGATGAAGGAATAGATAATGTCATTAAAGGAAAATAATCTTCGAATGAAAATTAATTTTAAATTACCTACAATCTACTTAATCACTTTACCTCTTTCCTTCTTCTCTTCTCTCCTTGCTTTCAGCAGAGACATAGCATGGAATTTTTTGTCTTGCTTCTCCTCTATTGTCTTCTTACGATCCTTACTTCTTTCCTTAGGATCTGGGGCTCTGTCTACTTTCTTCTCTTCTGCACTCTTCTCCTTCTTCCTTGATTCCTTTTGCTTCTTCAATTCCTGTTTCTTGGCCATCCTCAATTTCTTTTCGATTTCAAATCTTGTTTTCATTATCTCTCTTTGTTCAATGCGTTTGAAGATTTCTTGTTCACGTTCTTTTTCTGTCATTTGAGCAAGTCTTGCTTGATCCTCTGCATCTCCCATCAATTTGTCATCATATCCATCATTAAATTCTTCCTGGCTGGAATCAGAGACACTAGCATCGGAATCTGATACCTCACCTGTAAATGTAAAATGATTATTTAATATCACAGAAATATTTGAACATTTAAATATTTAATTCCAATGTAAAGTATTACCTTCTTCTGGTTCAGAGACCTTCTCAGGTTCTTTTTCACCAGCACTTTCTTCGCTGCTAGACTTTGTCATCTTTCGTTTATTTCGTTTAGTTGGCACTTTCTTTTTCTTATTTTTACCAGCCTTTGCACCCCAATCATCATCTGAATCTGATGTATCTGAATCATGTTTGCTATCTTTTTTAGCGGTTCCTGTGTCTTCATTGGATTGAGAGTCATCTTGCGATTTTCCTTTCTTCTTTTTAGCAAGCGATAACAAGTCCTAATTCATGGGAGAGACATTTCATTAAAGATCAAATGTTTCTCGTACATTGGAAAAGTGAATAATGCATTTCAAAACAAAGTTGATACACAACTTTCAATTCATGAACTTCATACATTTCTAGCATTGGAAAAACTTTTGATTTCTATTTCAATTTATTAATAAAGAAATGATCTCTGTTTAATTTCAATTCCTGTCAAATTCGTGTACCACTAATCTCGTAATACGTTTTGTTTAGCAACAATCCCTAAAACTCGGGGCTTGTATACCAGAAGAACAATCGTTCCTAAAAATTAATTAAAAATCTGACACAAAAACTCGAGCGCGTATCTAGCAGTACAACAGGTTATGTAAAGTAATTTCCATTCGTATATCATGTACAATAACTTGTAGCAAAGGTGCAAAGTCGATTCGATATAAATAACATTACTATTAATATCGAGACGCAGAACTCTCGAAGAGTGTGAAATTGAATTCAAAACGCAACGCAGCCGATATGCAACACGAGATTTTTATGTAAGGTTATATCATTTACATTATCCAAATCCGAACCACTTTCCGACACACTGCCACTACTGTCAGAATCTATAAGAGCCTGATTCTTTCTCTTTGGCATCGTCACGCAGATATCCGTACGGAGATCGTGAAAATTGCACGCCCTCCCGACAAAGACAAATCTAACGTCATGCAAGACACAATAAACTAGGAAGACCGCGTAGAACCGAAAACGTTAAACATCAACGCCGATCAAGAATAGCGTTCACCACGCCACGCATTATTTCATCGAACCTGTAACACAGAGCGTCACTGACTCTCTGTAAATGCTCTCCGCTTTACACAGTTAAACACAATAGTTGTCCACCCCACTCTTACCATTCATAAGAGGTTATGAGAAACCGCATTCTTATCTATGGTAGAATGTTTCGTGACATAAATGATATACAAGGTGTACGTGAAATTCAAACATAACATCGTACAAACAGAATTTAGATAATACACTGAGAAAGATTTATATTCGATTTTTTGAGAATTGAAATTATATGAAATAAAATTCCTTCCCCTTTCTTTATTTATTTAACGAATCGCGTTGTTTCTGAATTACTGCAGTTTCGAAAACACCCGGTATAACGTCAGACACACGTGATACGTTCTGTCAGGAACGAACTTGCTGTAATTCATATTTCTTTGATATTTTCATTAATAACGGTATTAATGTAGAAATATTACTACACTTTTGCAATGAATACCGAGACAGAAATATTTATAACGTGCAAATAAATTGCTCCAGGGTGTCAATTAGTAGTGCATAGTGGGTAGGTGCTTACCTACAGTCTCGTGTTATTAGCGTTGTTACAAACAAACTGTATGTATTTATTTTACTAATTCTGAGTATATTTGTTCGTTCGATAAAAATATTTCCATACATATTTTATATATAACGTTTATACTGCGTAAAAATACAAATTTCATGTTTCATACATAATGTAACTACACAATGGAACTATAGAAACCATAGAAGAGACTTAAATTCTTTAATAAGTTTTTAAATTCGAATGACAATGTGTAATTTTGTAATTTTCATTTCAATCCGTGGCATAGAATATCGCAGCTTAGAGAGCGCAGTTGTTTTTCACAAAATTTTACAAATAGCAGTGGGATATACGAATTTTCCGTTGAACGATGTACTCGTTTAAAGGTATTTCCTCCCTTCGTTACAAATTACATGCAGAGTTAAATATTCCATATCATTCGCGAACGTATCAATTAAAGGACCGTTCCAATCGTAATATTTTTCTTTTACAATTAACGCATTATCGTTTCGTTTTTTAATGATCTCGCAGATACTGGCTTATCGACCTTAGGAATATTTTCTTTCATTGCACTGGTAATCATGGATGTTGACACTTTTTGCCGTCAATGGCGTACGATAGACGCATCTGTGTCGATGTGTCAGAGAAATTTTGTACTATATTGGATTTTGTATGACGTTACCGTCAACCAGTGAAATGTAATTATAGGAGTGGCATTTACGAATTAATTGTAATAGATAGTAGTGTCGTAGAGAAACAGAGCATTCTAATTACGGATGTTTAAAATTAGAATGCTCAATGGCTGTGAATATGGAAGTAGACAAGAGCACGTCCAAAGAGGTTGACACACAACTTTCGGCAAGCAATTCGATGGAATTTAAGGATGGTGTTCGACGCGAGAACAACGAAAACGTACGAGATCTCCGGCATTCTTATTCGCCACTCGATGATAAAACGATTGACAGCCGCAAATACGATCGTACCATTGTATACGCACAACTCGACGATGCCGAGGTTTTCGTGAACGAATTACCTGACAATCGAGTCTTAGGAAATAAAGAAGAGGGGAACAGTATAAGGAACAAGGAGAAAGGAATAACCGAAGACATGAAGGTTTTGCAGAATGACAGCAAAGATCAGCAGGCAGAAGTAACGTCAGAAAATTCAACCGATGGCTATGCACATCAAGCTCCGTTAGCTTTTACAATTGATTTTGGCAACAAGGAAGTCGACACAACCAAGTATCAAAATTTATTTGAGAGGTACAACGCCAGGCACAAGAGAAACCTTTCTACATCTAAGGTAGGTTCTCTAAATCTTAATGGGGAAATTAATGAAAAGTTAATCAATGTCATTAAAATGTATATAAACACCAAGAATTAAAAGTAGAAGTCTAAAGTCTGTTGTAAAATGTAACTAAACTGGGAATTAAATTTTTAGGTAGAAATTAACTCAAGAAAAAGTGCCACATCATTTTCGTCAAATTCAGCACAAAAACAAAAGGTTTCCAGTACACATTCTGAAGGATATTTCAGTAGTGAAGATGACACAAAAAGAAAAACAGATCAATTGTCAGAGAAATTAAAGCAATTAGGTAATTTCTTTCTTTTTTCAAATGTATATGGTGATGCCTTTTTGTTTAACAAACATTTAACTGAAAGTGTTTTGTTTTTAGTATGATACATATAAATTAAAAATTTAATCATTTCATAGAGACATATTTTATATCTCTTCTATCTCTGTTACTAAAATGCTTCTAACTTATAACATAATTTAATACTTTTTCCTAATGAACATATATTTAATTTGTATTA